AAGGTTTTGTCATCATCAGGTGATGATGATGATGATGATGACAAAACCTTGTCGAAACGTTGTACATTTGCTGTCATGTTAAACTTATATTAAAGTTTTTCTTCATTACCCATTTAAGCCGTCTCCAGCCATTATCAATCAATTAGATAGTTAAAGGAAAGAATGTAAAATATGTACCTCGTATTTTCTCAATCTGCTGAGATATCAATAAATTTGCCAAATCCAACACTTCAAGTTACTATAAACATCATAAGTCATTATTTTATGGACATGTTTATAACCAATACGAGAGAACTTTTTATCTACCAAAACCTTATTACACTTAACTCTTTGCCACGGGCTGACCAAGTTCATAACAATTTTTACTCATTACAGTTTCTAAACTATAACTTTTAATACACTATGTGTATCTTTACAAAACTTAGCAGACTTTCAGTACACATTACAATACTTTTGTACACAAAAAAAATACAGATTTTAATTAAGTATGTTAAATAAGGATTTGTCTGTGAATACATCAAGTAATTTTGTTTAATAGTTCGAGTTTAGTGATTTTCATGTTAAGATTAAAAATGCTTTTATTGATTTGAAAATTTCATTTGTGTAATCACTAAAACCTCCTAAATAACTATGAAATGTTATTTTACAGTAAACTTAATAGTTTATCTGTTGTTGTCTTTACCATTACTCTGTATACAAGGTTAATCAATTTGACCAAACTCATAACCACCAAAAATAAGTTCAAAATAAATCTAAATCAACCTTTTTTCTTTCTAGAATGACTTCAAATTCTAACATGAAACTACTTCTGATTATCATAAGTAGCTTTAAACAGTAACTGTTTATCTTTATAATGCTTTATTACCCTTTGAACCATGTCTAAATTAATATTCGTACAATAAAATTTGTAAATCAATTGGTGAACATGGAGCGCATGTAACTCTATCAAATTAAATAATGCAAAGGTTATTCTTGAGCTGCTTGCGAGCATATACCTCATGAAACATTATTACTAAAATTCATTTTACCTAATCTGAGAAATTTCAATTTTTACATATTAGTTACTGTTATAATAATAAATAAAGAATACACAAGAAAAAGTACTTAATTGTTCTATTGTTTCTCTTTTACTGTTGACTATTGATGACACTTAACCTACTTTTTTTTTTATACTAATGGCACTAATGCACTAAAGTTTTTCATTTAATTAAATAATGCACCAAACACAGAATAATAACATGAAAAAGAAAACAATATCCCATAAATATGACAATTTTTCTAGTTATCAAACTATGCAACAAGAGCCTTTAAAAATTCAGCTAAGCTTCTCAATGTGTGTCCTGTGGGAATAAAGTTCAAACTGGAAGCGACAGAGACAATTCTCTGTACCTAAAACAACGTAATAAGTCATTTCATAGATTGAAACATTGGCTTTCTATTGGTTATAAATAATATAGCATTAGACATTAGAGAGAACTATTGGCAATTTCTGAAAAAGAGGATGTGACAGGTGGGCATTGCAAGAGGGGTCTGATTTTCTATTTTATGGCTCAGTAACAAAACAAAATGCTTTGTCTGAGCAATAACAGCATTATAATGAGTATTGTACATTAAGTTTCATACTTCTTTGGAGAGGTGGTAAATAAATTGGAGAAGTGAATATATCTAGAGAACAATTGTCACAATTCTCACACTAGGGGAAATTTAGTTCTTGTTTTTTACTATTGCCTTATAAATTTTAAAATGTTAAAAGTTTTTATTATTAGCTACATTTTTATGCCAAGTTTATGTATGTACCATGATAAGAAGTAGGTTAATTCAATTTTGAATGTAACTCACTAAGACCTCCTGACATGTGCACAAAATGATGCCTGTTCTGAAAGTATTAATTATTTTTTGTAAGCATATGTAGACAATTGGCCATAGATCCCATGTCTGTGATTGCTGATTTCAACTCTGAGTAGCATATAGAATTTTCTTAAACTTATCTATAGCTTAGTTGGAAAGCCAATTTTATTACAGTAATTTTGGGACATCCTATGCTAGTACCTGATATATGTTTAGTGTTCTAAAATGCATATTTAAAAGCTACATGACTTGCATTTAATAAAACTAACTAAGTGCAAAAAAGTGAGGCCTACACGAAAGCTATCTGCATTAGCCATCCCTAATTTGGCAGTGAAAGACTAGATGAAAGGCAGCTAGTCATCACCAACAACTCTTGGGCTACTCTTTTACTGACGATTAATGGGATTGAATGACACATTATAATGTCCCCACTGCTGAAAGGGCGAGCATTTTTGATGGGACAGGGATTCAAACCCATGATCCTCAGGTTGCGAATCAAGCACCCTTACCCTCTGGCCATGCTGGCCAGATCACATGAATCATGCATCTTGCCCATGACAGATGGCCAATTGTTTTTTGCTGTGATTTACTGTTTTGAACAGAGGGAAGAGGCAGTAGAACCATAAAATTCAAAGAAAGCAGTTGTGAAAATGATAACAGTTGAAACTGTGATGATAATTAAATGGAAAATCTAACAAAATAATACACTTAAAGAAAAAAAATATTAATGTGAATTTTATTTCATTTTTCATCTTTCCATTTCACTTTACACTGATAATCTTCACTGTATTTAGTGTTAGGGTAGAGAAATAACAGATATAAAGTTTTACCAAAAAAAAAAAAACTTTTAGATCTTCATTTAGAGGCTCTGAAGGTTATGCAAATAAATTATGAAAACTATAAGATGAAAAGAAGTTTTTTATTCATACCATGAGAATCACGTTGCATTCAGACTGCCTCCATAAAGGTTTCAGAAATTAAGATAAATCTTTAGTAGAAATTCTTTATTAAAAATTCTGTGTATGACAGATTTTTAACATTTACTAAAAGCTTGTCAACATTCATGAAGATACATGTATTAAGTGCAAACCTATAGTAAACTATATACAGCTTCATAGATATGGGTTTGTCCATTGGACCGATCCTGTGCACACAGAGTTAATGTTGCTTGATTCCCGCACAAACTAGGCTGAATATACTGATCTACCCTACAATGTACATATACAGATTGCTGTCTCAACACAAAGTTAAGTTTGTTGATTTTGCATCTGATGTTGACAGGCATATAAACAAAATATAGGCTGACTATGTCTTAGTAATGGCAAGTAAAAACTAAATAAATAAAAACATTCAGGTAAAATTTTGGTCAGCAAATCCAAGAAACAACTTCTTCTTTTGGAGTGTCCTACTATCTAAATCACTTTATGGTTATTTACATGAATTATCCAGAAGTCCGTTAAATTTTCATTTTCATCAATCAGAACCAACACTGTTACACGTGGTTTAACTCAAGATTGTGTATAATACTCAGAGCATCGTATAATATGTATATTCCCATTATTAAGTAGACAAAATATAAATACAAAAGCCAAAGTACAAACCAAGATCCATTCCATTCTGTTTTAACAATTTGGCCTTTCTGGAGTTTAACCATGGGTCGCTGTCAAGTACACAATAAATATTTTTAATCTTATAATATAACTCAACTTCTCTATTTTTTATTTTTTTTATAAAATAACTGAATATAATGCTTTTTATCAATTATAAGGCTAAATGCCTTATTCAAAAAGCAGAGCTTAACCAACAAACATATAATAAATTTGCACCTGTACCAATATCAGTAATATACAAAAACTATTCATGAATAGAATTAGAAACCAGCTGTATAGACAATTTTTAATACGTCAGTAACATTAAATCACATTTTGACCAATCTCATAAGGTTCCAAATATCTGCTTGTTTTTTAAAGTTGTTGGGCTTTTGAGAGGAGAATCTTTAAGTAAACTATGTAAACGTAATACAAATAATAGCTGATACTATGAAAGGTTTGAGTAAAGCTACAAAACACTACAATTTTTAAATAAGATTGTCAAGGAAAGCATAAATGCATGATTTAACTTTGAAAAACTGATATTACTTTATGCATAATTTGCTCTATATGAACATACCTCAGGATACTGTTGGAGATAGTTTCTGATAAACTGTTTAGAGTCTGGATGAATATCTTCCCAAACTTCATTACCTTACAATACAAAATAGTTATATTTCAATTATTTGGTTGATTGCTTGATAACACTATATAAGCACCTTATCAAAATCCAAAGAGTTTATATTACTCTACAGACTCGAAAGTAATAAACTTTTAATAATATATATATATATAAAGAAAACAAGGTTTATTTTGCATAATTAACACAGTTATCCTAAATAGTATGTTAATAAACTTACTTGCTTCACAGACTAGATGAACCTCTGAATGTTTTACATATTGAGCATATCCATCATCAAAGAACACCAAATACCTAAAACAAAAGAATTGACACTGTCAATTACAAATTCTGAGAACAGAACTGTAAGGCAGTTGAACTGCATGATAATTTAACATAAATTATGGTTTGTGTTGTTATTCATTCTTACTGAAAAAGCTTAAAGTAAATGAAGCAAGAGTTTTTTTTGTTTTTTTTCAGTTAGTTTTTTTAGCTAAGTTCATTTACTAATTTTTTCAACAACAGATTTTCTAATTTATAAATAACTAGCTGAGTTACCCGGCATTGCACGGTGAAAATTTAGATTTGAAATGTATAGATCAGTATTTTTTTCAGCAAATTATTCAGTAAGTAGACAAAATCTGTGATGCAAGAAATAAACAAGTATTTAATCAAACAAACATGGATAAAAGTTATTGCTGATGCTGGCTGGGGAAACAAGAAGCTATGGTCATCATTATACTTCTAATACTGGAGTCACAGTCATAATTGGTCATTGTACAAGAAAGATACTTTTTTTGCCATTTGAAACAGATAATGTTGCATATCTGCTACAGATTAAAAATAGGGAACAATGACCGAACATATATGCTACAGAAACAGGAAAGAATCATCTGCTGCTATGGAATCTGATATTATTGTAGAATGTTTCTGTAAGAGTGAATCCATGGAACAAGGTACTTATTGGTGATGGCAAATAAAGTGTTTATAAAAGAGTTTTGGAAAGAGTACCTTATGGTCGATCAGTTGAGAAGGTTGAATGTGCTAACCAGATGGTCAGACACTACACCAAGGTATTGCACAACATTGCTAGCAAAAGCACATAAATGCAAAATACCTAGTCAAGTCAAGAATAATTTGCCTCAAAAAATAATCAAGAGGTGCAATTTGATATAGCAGCAAAATTTCCAGTTGTGTAAAAAATCTCATAGATGATCTAAAGGATGGTCCATATCATATTTTTGGAAGCCATGAAAAATGCAAACCTTATTTTTGTCCATCAGTCAGCAAAAACAATGAAACAAACAATCTCCTAACAATGCCTCATTCCCTTCTCACAAGAATTATGACTGCTATAGACATGCTTGTTCGGAAATCTGATGGACTAATTTAAATAACACTAGCAACCTTGCCAAATCGTATGTGCATGTTGTTACGAAATTCACTGGCAGAAAACAAATCAGTAGGTCTCGCAGAGGTGCCTATCACTGCCGTTGTCTAGGTGCTAGTTTATCATACTTCCTGGGACCCAAATAGTACATTTTAGCTTGGAAATCTTCTTTCAGCAAAAGTCCATCTGCTATATTAAAAAAATATGCAGCGAAAACAGAGGTACAGTGATGTTGGTCATGAAGAGAGCTGCAAATGCCCGAGGCAAAGAAAACAAGGAAAGAAAAATGCTGTGAAGCTATTAGCAAACAACTTTGACTATGGACCAAACAGTCAGCAACTTGATTTAACATAAAATAAATATGAAAGAAGAAAAACTGAATTTCTAATAGAATTGCAGGTATCAAAGGAGATTAGGGATAACACTGAGAGTGAAACAAAGGGACAGAACATAAACCCAAAGTGGAAAGAGGAGAGAAGTAAAATATTGACTACTGCACACTTTGACAATGTATGCAAGATGAGAGAGACAATACCATGTGCCTGTATAGTAAAACATATTTTGTACAACGTTGACCTAAATACACCAGCTGTTGAATATGGCAAACAAATTTGCAATTCTTGTCTATACCAATGCGACAGGTATAACTGTCGAACCTTCGGGCCTATTTGTAGATGTTGAAAATGGATTCTTTGGCACATCGCCTGATAGACCAATTGGAGGTAATGGAATATTAAAAGTGTCCAAAAAGTGCCAAGTGTATTACATTAATTGAAGCTTCTAAAAAGATGAAAATCTTCTGCTCTACTGTGGAAAATGATAATCTGAAACTGAAAGAAAACCATAGTTATTTCTACCAAATTCAAGGGCAGCTGCATATTACAGGTAGAGATTTTTGTGACTTTGTTCTGTGGACACCCAAAAAGATAAACATTCAGAAAATAAAGAAAAAAGATATTTTCTAGGAATCACAAATGTTTCCCAAGTTGTATAATTTTTTTTTTCTGGAAGCTTTGTTACCAGAGATTATTGATCCCAGAATGTCAGAAACATGGCTATCAAGGTGCCTACCTTACGTTATTGAGGCCAAAAGAAAAAGAGAGGAACCCTTATGATAATAAAAAACCTTATAATAAAAAATGAAATTTACATTAGATGAAAATAAGTGTTTTGTTTTATTCACCACATGTACAACTTAAAAATAAACCATCTGACACTAATCTCTACAGTAAATAATATATGTCGTGTAAAATTTGTGTAAGCTATATAAGGATTTTACAGACACACATTCACAGAATAGCACATTGGTAGAATATCTATATCATAAAAAGTAGAGGTGAGACTAAGTATTTGAATACAATTACTATTCGATTAATCAAATAAGCAATCGAAAACAAACTAAAAATAAAACTTTGCACTCAATGAAGCAAAACTTCAACATATCTGAAGATCGCTTTCTGACATCATATTATGAGGATTTAGAACTACTGTTATAAATAGTATATGTGTTTATTGTAAATTACTTTACACAGCATTTTGTATTTAAACATTAGTATGTGCCCATTCTTTATACATACTGTCAAGATAGACATGAAAATGTGTTTGTTTTTGTCCAAAATAATGTGATTAGAGGTCAAACATTGTACAATTTTAATATATATAGTACTCAAATCCTGATTATTCGAAATTATCATCCCTAATAAAAACTATCAAATATTGTAGTGTATAGGGTCTGAAAATGCTAATTCTTTCACTATTTTAAGATGCTCCCTAAACTGGATCAATTTTATTTTTAGGTACTAGTGTCAGAAATAATAGATTCAAGAATGACAAGCAGCATGGTTTAACGAGAGCCAAACTTCTGTGCTTGACGGTAAAAGAAAGGTGGAAGTCTGGAAAAAGAAAATTAATGGAAAATAAAATTAACATTTTCAAGTATTATGATAAATATGAATATAATATATACATTATCTAGGATTCTGTATGTTTTCTAACTAAAAAGTTTTAAGATATAGTAACATAAAGTTATATTGAATAATCTTCTGGAGGGTCTCTTTGAGTCTAGGTTTTGGTAAATTTTTGTGGATCTTTGATCTTCTTCAGAAACAAAAGTGGTCGAGAATGTTCTCTCTCTCACAAATAAATGTTGGCCAGCAGATTGTCATCTGCTAACCATGAATTTCAAAGATATTTGAGATATACAAGTATTATCAGCATTGTGACCTGCATTTATTATTGTGTGCAAGATTTTTATACATTTATGTTATGAATCCAATCTACCTTTACATTACAAATAATTGTTGTTGTTTTTTTACTAAGTGCAAGTGTTTTCTAGTCTAAATAAAAGTTTAATACATATTTTGTTGTTTGTTCATTTTGTCAGAGTTTGCAATAATACAGCTATGTTGTATATTTGATATTTTTTTATGAAGTTCAACCACATAGAATTTGGATTGATGTTAATTTTCATTGTGTAATATAAAGAATACAGATAGAGGCAGATTGACATTTTAAAGGACCAGACTGGGAAACAATACCACTAATAGCACCCCAGTAATTTTTCATGTGCTGCATACTGGCTAAACAAGAACGAATCAATTGCCTGGTGGGCCAATCCACCCTAAATATGAAAGAAATGCATTATGAAATGAGTTCATACATATCTTTTATATTACACAGCTATTTCACTGTAACATTACAAATATTAGTTTTATATTCGAAGCAAATGTTATAAACATGTAAAATTGCAGCTTTTCCTTCTGTTTCGAACATGACTAGTGTTAGTGAATATGACTGGGCTTCCTCTAGAAACTACTATGTATTTATTACTCAGAACGTCTGAATAAGCCCAATTTATAGCTATTTCATCGAACACTGCATAGTGTTTCCTGGAACTTTCCTTTGGGTGCTAAGGGAGAAGCAAGAGACACCTATTATTATGGCAGTCAGGTTTTACATTTTATTTGCTGAGCTGAAGGTCAAACATTGAATTGAAATCAGGCCAAAATGCTTTGTTATGGGAGTATTGGGGAAGAAGAAATGTGAATAGAACCTAACCCTCCATGGTAGCACACAACTACCAAATACCTATCCAGACTGACAGACAGCTATAGGACTACTTATTTTTCAGTTCACAATCAAAAATGTGAAAAAAATCTTGTAAATTGCAGTGTATAATGAAATATAAATGTTAATTTTTTTTTTTATTTATATACACACACATGATTGTACAAACTGTGCATAATGATTGCATCCATGTACTTAGTTTTATGATATTTATCTCCAGTCACACATGTTGAGACTATCTTTCAAATATTGTCACTGTAGAAATTCCCATATAAACATATGTACAACAGAAATTATCTGTACTAAAGTTTCAGTTTTTATAACAGTTTATATGAAAGACAGATGAGTTGTATACTTCCCAGTGCACAGAATGTCTATTGTATTATAGAAGTTTTATTAGTACGAAGATAAGCAGGTAACCTAGCAAGTTATTACAACTCATTACATAGTTATGAATATTTCTTCATTTTGAAATCATAATACTAAATACGTTTTGGGAATTTTATCATATTTTATGTAATTGCAATTGTTATTTCTCAAGAGATGCAATTTTATACACTTCTTGGCAGTTGATTTTTTTTTTTTTTTACACTTACTCATAAGGATGTGTCATTTTTCAGTAGTATACCACTAATTAGACAATGTAGCTGTAACTTGCCTCAGGTTACTTGACCTGATGCTGTGAAAAATGGGACATTTCCAATAAGGACTCAGTGGTAGGGGTGATAGTTTTCCTGTAATATGTAAAGTGAAAAAAGAAACCGATATAATTACAACGATTTCATTATGCAGAAGGGGTTGGCATTTTTATGTACATAATTATATGCAGTGTAAAGAAATAGATAAGAGTTATTACATGGGAACTCTAAATTTGAGAGTGGCATGCATGAACACAACTAAGAAAAACTATGAACGTATGCTTTGTTTACCTCATGGTAACAAACTTTGTTGCATAGCCAGGCAATACCTTTTACATGCAATATGTTTTACATTAATTTCCTTCACTTGATGCATTTTGAATATATATTAGAAGGTCCATCTCAAAATATTAGATTATCATATTCCCAACAAAATAAAGTGTCTGGACAGTATTTTCTGTGCTAGTAAAGTTGTGTAGGTTTTCACATATTGCTGAACTAAACATCAGAAAATAATTCGAGTTTTTATTTTTAGTATACCCTGCTAAGAAAACCTGGAATAAGAATTCAGTTCAAAAACTATAAATTTAGCTTTACTATATAATATTTAATTTGTGCAGTATATCTCATAAAGATTGTTTGTTTGCTATGGATTTCACGCAAAGCTACACGAGGGCTATCTGCACTAGCCATCCCTAATTTAGGAGTTTAGGACTAGAGGGAAGGCAGCCAGTCGTCACCACCCACCGCCAACTCTTGGGCTACTTATTTACCAATTTCTAACAACGTAGGACTTCTAATTGGAAGAATTAGTTACATGTATATCACGTGAGAGCTTATCAATGCAAAAGGGATAGTACTCTATATAAGTTCAGCCTTTACACTGGACCATCGACAAAGAGCAGCATAACATGTTCATGCATTGATGTCATCTATTGGTGTAACTCAATAATAGTTAGCTCTGAAGGAGCACCTTAAAGGGTTTTATTAAAGGTTTTTTTTGAAATAAAAGACTTAAAACCTTAAACTTAGATAACATAAAACTTCAAATAATAACATATGTTATAATGTTAATTTCATTCACATACATTAATATCAAAGGTGTTTAATTAAATTTTGAATGCAACATAGTGACTTGTGCAAAAAAGGGTATATCCATCATGAAAGGGTTTACACACTAACCAAATCAATGTACAATGGGTAATTTCTTCATTGAAATCAAGTTGTAATAACATATATAAAACGAATATAGCTTACTAAATTAATATGACATTACTAGAACCCATAAAAATCCTTATTCTGAACAAGTTTTTTTTTTATTATAAAAACCTTAAAATTGTAGTTGAAAGTTCATAATACATACAATTTAAGAACAAGGGATCTGTTGGTTCATCTAGGTCATCCTATCCACTATACTAAACTCTTAAAACACTCAAAGCCAGCCCTTTTTCATTCAAATATTTACCAAGCCTTCTGTTAACACTATGGACATAGGTTCATGTATTTTACACAACCTTATAACCACCTTTAAACTAAGTTATATTATACATACTACAACTCTGAAAGTACTTAAAGTATCTTCACAAAATTTAGCAAGCTCTTAGTAACCATAAAATCTTTTATAAACAAAAATACAGATATTTTAATTAACTATTTTTACAAATGATGGGTCCATGAATATTTGGAGTCAGCATGTGGATTAGTTCAAGTGCTAGGTGATTTTCAAGTTAAGATTAAAAACTAATATTCATCTTTGAGTTTCCAAGTTTCATGTGCATAACCTCTAAAACTTCATAAATGAATATCTAAAGTTTTTTTGGGTCACACTTTATATTTTATCTGTTATTTTTTCTCTACAGACTTGGTCGATTTGACTGAACATCTAAAAACATCAGAAAAACAATAGCATATCTTCATGAAATTTTGTAGACTATCAGTAAACATTACAAGGATTTTGTACATACAATTTAAAAAAAGGAACCTATTGTTTCATCTTGGCCATCCCATCCACTAACTAATGGCTTAAGTTCTTCATTTAAATCAAGTTTAATTACATAAAAAAACGGATATTTTAATTAACTATTTTTACTAAAGACATGTCCATGAATATTTGAAGTAAATGTGTGGATTAGTCCAAGTGCTAGGTGATTTTCATGTTAAGATAATGTTATGGTGTGTCTGGCAGACATGTGCAACCCTTCAGTAAAAGTTTCATGTACCACATAATATCCTTCATTTACATCAAGTCTTAATTACATAAAAAAACAGATATTCTAATTAATTATTTTTACTAAAGATATGTCTACGAATATTTATTTTGAAATTATTTAGAACGTAACACTGTGACTTGTGCAAAACCGGTTTGCTGTGATTTTGCATAATTTCTAAAACCTTCTAAATAAATATCACTTGCTTTTTCAGAAAGGCTTTATATTTCATGTATTTTTCCTTGTGCAGTTAGTTGATTTATCCTTTTGTTTTTCTAGAATAATTGAAACCACAACTGTTTATTCTAAATAGTTTAAAGTTTATAACAATATATCTATTTATGTTTGGAGATAGCGGCTTGAATGAGTAATGAAGAAAAACTTTAATACAAGTTTAACATAACAGCAAATGGACAATGTGATTATTTAGAATCACACAATACCAACGACATTTACAAAATAACATGCAATAACTGCCAAGAACTCTACATCGCAGAAACAGGAATAAAATTGGAAACCAGATTCACAGAACACAATAAAAAAACCGTCCCATGTTCCACTGTTGCAACTCAAAAAACCATAGTATATGTATTAAAAACACAGTAATTTTAAACAAAAAACAAAAAATCAAGTAATCCATCTTAATTGAACAAAACAAACCTACTCTAAACCAACACCCTGGGGTGCCAAGATATCTCTTCTAAGTCGTGCAACAATATCTGATCATGTGACCTCTTTGTTCCACACTGTGTGTGTGTGTGTGTATACATACATACATACATATATCTGTGTCAGTGTAAACTCCTTGTACCTGATGATGACAAAACCTTGTCGAAATGTTGTACATTTACTGTTATGTTAAACTTATATTAAAGTTTTCTGCAGTACCCATTCAAGCCATCTCCAAGCATAATTAGTCTCAAAGTGGGTTCTTCATCATCAAAAACATATCTATTTATATTTATTAATATTTTAGTTTATTGACTTTTGAACAGTGTCTAACTAATAATTCCACTACACAAATTGTAAATCAGGCAGCGTATGTTCATCTCGCATTACTGTATCGAATGGCATAAAACTGGCCTAGAAAGTACAAATCTTTTACTCTTAGTGCTTATGTAGCAGTATTTTGAAAAACATGGTGGCATATCCAGTTACCATACATTACGTATGTATATAAATTATTACTATATACAACTAAATTCTTAAATTTCAGTTATTTTTCGTAAAACACAGAGCAGTAAATAAAAAACGTATAGAAAACAATGACCTCTACTATTTACGATGTTACAAAGTTTTCTGTATTCTTGCGTCATACTTTCTAAGCCTCATTAAATTTAGCATCTTTGAAGATGTAGAGAAATTAATTTTTGTTGATTTTATATACGAATTTTGGAAAACAAAAAAATACAAATTCCTATATCGATACAAAAATCCACTGTAACTTATCAGGTTTCTTGACTACATTATATATGGGTATAAAATAACTCATTTCTGATTGGAATATCGCCTTGATCATCACACTTCAAACTCTTCAACAGTTATATCAAATTAACCCATGTAAGTACTTCAGGAAGACTAAAAGGATAACATAGTTCAAAATGAGTGCTTTCAATTGATTTTAAAGAGGCACTTAAGAGAAGTAAGTGTAGATAAACAAGTATTTTCAAAATACAAAGTGGTGCGCAGAGCAACTGTGGTGAGTTTGTTAATATCTCGGCAAATAGAAAAGCTAGGAAGTTCTTATTATATATTCTAGCTTGTAAATATTGGTAAGTTGAGTTTCTAGTACTCTATCCCTGTTAAGCAACCTATAACCATGTATTTCAAAGAAATTACTGTCATCAAAATTGTCAACATTTAAGCAGGTTTCAATTATTCCCATTACATAAAAATCCTATACACTATACATTTCTCTACATTTAATTTTTTCTCAGTTATTCCAAAAACCTCCCTTTTCTCTTTCAATTGATCAAACAAATCAACCATTCAACTTGATCATCCTTACATATTAACCAAAGCATTTAGCCCTAGTAATCTACTTATAATTTCATCTTCACTTATTAATGTTTTTCCGATGCCTTGTGGTATGAAATTTAACTGTAGCTAAGGCATGTTGTAAAAGTAAAATGACTAGTTTTACAATACAACTTCTACAAATACTTTCTCACCTGTAGCTATTCATAACTTTTGGTGGTTCTGCAATAATACCTGCATATAAGGCAGCTTGAAGACTCCAGTGCTCATCCCTGTAATATGCTGATGAAATACACACACACAGTTTTAGTTAAATACTTGCTGACAAAAAACAAAGCCTATTGAAAAACCATCATATCCTATCTAACATCATATCTAACATGCTCAAACATTACTTTTGAAACACATTATCTAGAAGGAAATATATTTAAAAGCAATACTTTTTATGAAATAATAGGGTTTTTGGTTCACGTTTCATCAGTATTTAGTATTTGCAATCTTAGCTTTTAAAAGTTTTTGTACATGTATAAACAGTATTTCATATAAACTTTTTGTTTCTCATCACCCAGTCTGGTTGATAAGTTATAGTATTGAACAAAAAGTTTCCTACCCAATGACACGTGGGAGACAAAAGGTACATCTGAAATGCTATTTTTATACATTTCTAATTCAAGTTTTTTAAGCATTATTATAGTAACTATTTCAGATTTAGCCAAATAAAAACATTTTATATGAAATACTATAATCTTCCTGCAACTTTTATTAACACTTTCACAATGGGCTTGTGTATTTTACATGACCTTGTAACCATGGTGGTATACATGCTATAATGCTGAAAGTACTTAATGTATCTTCACAAAATTTTGCAAGGTGTCAGTAAACATCAAGTCTTTTGTAGACAAAAAAATTGGACTTTATAATTAAGTGTTTTTAATAAAACTTTGTCCGTAATTATACAGTGTCAGGGTGTTGACTGCTCTGGGTGTAAAGTGATTTTCATGTTAAGATAATAATACTTTTCTTTGTCTGAAAATATTCAAGTTCCATTTGCATAACCTCTGCACCCTCCTAAATAAATATCACACTCCTGTTTCAGTAGAATGTTTATTTTATCTGTTATTTTTTCTACTCTTACTCTACAGACTCCAATGATTTGACCAACCTTGTAACCACTCTAGAAAAAATATGAAATAAATCCTTTTTAAATATTTCCTTATAAAATTAAGAACTTATAAAACTTATATAATATTAAATTTGATTTATTAATTACGTATTGATGCCAAATTTATTTGTAAAGAATGGTAATAAAGTAGTTTAAATAAATTTCAAATGTAACTAAAACATTATGACATGTACTTTGACCTACCCGACACGAAAGGGCTAGTGGTAAAATTTGTAAACTTAGAATTATGTAATATTCTATTTATTATGTCTTTCCTTTTAAGCTTTTAAATATTTAAGAACTAATACAAATATCAGAGTCACATCATACAGAAATGGTTCACTCATATATAATAACCACTGGTACCATATGGATTAACTTGCTTTTAATTTCTCAGGTAATTGAAAAATAAAATGAAGTTCTATGTTATTATAAAAGTAAGCTAAAACAAACAAAAAGTACAGTGAAATCAAAAGTTTGAAATATTAATAATTAACAAAGAGAAAAGAACAGTAATTTCATAGCAAATGAAAGACTTAAAAGTGCAAAAAAAAAGATTCTCAAGTGCATTTTTTCCAATAAATGGCTACTTTGAAATTGTTTATTAAAATATATTTAAAAAAATATTTATAAACTCTGGAATAAAGCCGTAACCAAAAAAAAGTATATTTGAAACAGTGAATATATATATATATATATGTTTTGGAGAACTTCAAGAGCTTAAAGTACTCACCAATGATGCGAGAACCAACAGGCAGAATCACATCAGGTGGATCTATATAGGCAAGATGTTTCCCTGAGTAGTATACCTTCTGAGATGAATTAGTCTTTTTTGACTCGAGTTTTACCCTGTACTGTTTTTCTCCCTCAGCAAGAATCCTGATGTCTATGATACGACACTTGTACCACACTCCAAGATGGTTCCCTTTTAATGCATACACTTTCATGCCTATTGTTAAAGGCCTGAAATAAATAAAAAGAAATTCCTCTATGATTTAATTTTTTAAACCAAGCAATTTTTTTAAAACCCTATAATAACAGGTATTAATTTCTAACATAGTTAAGATTCAACAACCAATGCCTTTTAGCTATGAAACAAAGAAACTTATGCATCATACACATAAGATGTAGTCCCCATAATGTGTGGCATTAATTATACCATTCCAAAGGATATGGAAGTTGATATGTTCACCATACTTGTTCCTTCCCATATCAAACTTCCAACAACACCAAAATCATCACATTCCTGTATAAAACTTGTGTTAGATCTGTTGAATACTATCCTCATGTCATTGGTCTACTGCATGCATTATTGGTACTAGTGCAGGCAAAAGGTTTTATGCCTTGTTAAGTTTGTGTCTTCAAAGTTGTACCATGATTCATGAATCAATTCAATATAGCAAATCAATCCAGATCATGTGAATTATCCATAAACAGCACAGCCTAAATCAACAGTGAACAACGTTTTTCACATCCCTCCTTCTAAACGTGTAATTTACTGCACCTCTCCCCTATAAAAATAAAACAATTCTTAACACAGAAACTCTGAGATCTCCCCCCCCCCCCTCTACCTGATGCAAGATTGTTGTCAGAACAGATAATACTGACTTGTATGGGTATGTTCACTGCTCATCTTGACAGGTCAGAGTATTCTTAGCAAACTATCATCTAAAAGTTCCCAAGAGGTTTGTATTCTGCCTCCAGGTTTTACCACTGGATACTTCTATGAGTTTTCTTTGAACTGTCATTGGCAAATGAAAAGTTTACTGCCATTAAATAGATCCCAGATCTAATCATGTTCTACTGTTGATTCTTGGAATTGATCTTCAAATTGACACTGAAGTTTTTTTGAGATAAACAGAAACAACATCACGAAAGAGACTATGATTTAATTCATTTTCTTCCAAGAACTCAATAAGACAAAAAAAAACAAAAACATTTCACAGTTTCCATTCTCAAACTGGTTTTTCCACAGCACAAGTTTCTAGCTAAATGCAAAAAATTACTAGTCTGATCTTGCAGTGACAAGTATAGATCACTTGGTTTATCTAAAATATCAACCAGGTAGCACAGTACTAGAAGCCACATTTCATCTTTCAGCTGCATAATACAGCTGAGTACCTTCCCACAAGACAACTAGAGCTCCTCTATATGCAGCAGGAGCTTGTCATACATGGACCCCATCTCTCCGTAAAGAATGGAAAACAGCTTACTGTTCAAAGCTCTTAATTTTACATAGTTCACAACACTAGTAGCATCTTGTAGCACTTTGTTTGCTTTGTGCAGCAATTTCTTTGAAGCCAGTGCTTACCTGTGTATGATGCAATGTGTATACATTACACCTGGAGAAAGAGCAGTTACTGTGGTTCTAAAACCATTCTTGTTTCCCCATAAATGCATCTGCCTCATCATGTATACTCCAATACAATTAATCCAGAAAGAGGTTCCTTGTGGTGAAAAATTCATCAAAAATAGAGATGATGGTTCTACTGTAGCTCTCCATTTCAGTAGTTGTGAAATTCTTCACACACTTCCTCTTTGTAACAGTATCATACAAATACCAGAAGATGAGTTAATTTGCACCATCTGTGGTTTCATCAAGTTGTATGGTGAATTTTGGACTGTTATGGATGCATGTTATAAATTTTGTTTTTATGTAAGCAGAGATTACATCTATATGCCTCTCAACACTGTCATATGATAGATAAAAGGAAAAATTTGAGGGCTTCACCATACCTCTCTCATCTTGCATGATCTCACACATTTTTATGGCAGCAAGGAGAATTAATGTCTCTCCTCTATTGTGTGGTTTCATGTTCTTCCCAATCACATCAGATACTTCTAAAAAAGCTTTTGATGGAACAATAACATGCTTTTCAAGCAAGTTACTTTCCTTTCAACTGTTTCACAGCCTGAAGAACTATATTGTTTTACTCACGGGCTCAGGGTGTTTAGTTTCCAAATGCCTTGTAATTATAATTGGCTTCATGTTTTCAGTAGCTAAAATATGCTCATTTGTACAAAACTATTTGTGTATAATGACAGATTAATTCCACACTGGAGAAAGTATGAAGAACAATTGTGAATGAAATACACAGTATTTTGGTTATGTAGCCACTCTACTTACTTTTCATCATGGAATTAACCTCTACTTTATCCTTTTGCAGCCCACATAATGATGCAGCTCACCTCTAATGTCGCTGTGCATATACTTTACATGTCATTTTCCCATGTTAATTGTTGTTACTATACTACTTAACTAGCTGGAGTACAGAAGTTATGTAAATTCATAATTACCGAAACGCTATCTTAGGACATGAAAAGTTGCTTCCCTTATATATATAATTGTAAGAAAATGCAAAAATGTCCATAAAACTGCAAACCATAAAGTGTGAAACTGCAAGTTTGTATATATTTCCACATGGTCCCAAAATGGTAGTAGTGGTAAAAAACACAAAAATGGCCATAAAACCCACAAAACTGAAAATTTTAATATATCTCCCCATGGACTCAATGAACCTCCATACCAAATTTGGTGAAGATCCATCTACAGGGGGCAAAGTAGTGGTAAAAAACGCCCATAAAAATGGTAAAATGCAAAATGCAACTGAAAATTTGTATGCACCCCCACACCCTGCGAAGTAGTTACATGGACATACAACATAAAACAGACAGTACAATTATATTTATATAGATTACTAACTATAAAAGGCTTATTCCTTTTGTCACTCTATTTATAATGCTTCCATGCTCCTTTTTTAGTAATGCTCAACAGTATACATTGTCGCTTAGCAACAAAACTATCATCTGATTGTTCTTATGCCAACAATAGTGTTTATGTTAAATGCTCAATATTCATGTTTATTGTGTTAGAAAGGTTGGTTCTTTTATACTTTATTTTTTGATAACTTTGGTGATATAACAGCAGTTTTATGACATTGAGTTGTAGCCAAAACCAAAATAAAATTTAGCAAGCAGTGTTTCAGCTAAACCTTATGTTACGTTTATGTATTAGGCCTAATGATAGTAATGATTAGTAATGTTAGAGTCAGTGTTTAAAAAGTTAATTGGTGAATAAATGTTAATCAGTAAATATTCTTTTGGTATCTTAACACATATTTTGTACAGTCGAAAGAGTTGAAAATTTGTATCAGAATGTCTGCACTATTTTTTCTACTTCCTGATCTTGAATACACTGAAAATGTTCAAGAGTGCTATTTAAGCCCCTTTCAGAGTGTACACATACTTTTGTTCATGATAACATTTAACTTTTCTGCATAGTTTTTTACTAAAAATGTGGTGATTAAAGAATTACTTTGAGACTGATGAAATAAGTGAAGAGTAGGTGGATTTTGGAGGTAAATTTGTTTTAGTTAAATTCTATAATTTTCGTTAATCATTCAACAATGGTTTTCCATCATTGCTGATGGGCTTTTATACTAGTAGTAGTAATATTAGTACGATGGTTTTTAAAACTTTTTTAAATTTGTACTTTCAGATACAATTTATATGCTGCCCTGACCCTCTAACAAAAAAGATCTTGATATAATCAATTACTACTACTTTTATCAAAGTCAGTCATTTGGGATCATTAATGAAACATAAATGCTGATCCTACATGTCTACTTACTATAAAATATAAATAATTCTTCTTAGATCTTAGTTGGCACATGCAATTTAACTGCCTGCTGCATATAGCTTAATATTGATGACAATAAGCAACCGAAACCAGCCACTACAACATACAAAACAGAAACAGCTATATATGTACACAAAGAAAAACCGAATGAAACCACAAATAAAAGTTAGATGTTTACACACAATCAAAATTAAATGTAAAAGTACAGTTTACATCAGAAGTGATTATAACCTAACGGAATCTATACATTAACTTTTCCTACAGAGCTGACAACTGAACAATCAAATCCTGTTATACTACACACTTTTCTAAACCCATGTCAAAGAAAATGAAGAACTGAACGAATCCCACAATTACACCTAAATAGAACTACAAATTGTATATAGGTTATTAATAACATAACAGAAAGAGTATTTAACACATTTGCTGCCTCAATTTTAACGCATGTACTAAGCCACATTCATTATTGCTGAAGTGACAAAACTTTAGCAACAATTCGAAATGATCACGTAGCATAACAGTATTGTAAAGTAGAGTAACCAGCAATGGATAATATTACCACTAATCTTCTATCAATGGCTTTTTCATGATGCCCATAACGAAACGAATACTAAAAAATTTTCTCCTTTCAGGTTCATCAGTTGCAGACCACTGGCACATTCTGCTTTTAGGCCGTAGGCAGTTCAATTCAAAGAACTGTTCAGCAAACCTATTCATTTTGGCAATTATCATATTCACAACATCCTCCATCACATACAGTTTCAACTGGAATGGCCACCAACAGCAAACCTGTGACCACTTAAGGCTGTGTAGTAAAATAAATATCAGGTGAACTAACACAAGTAAACTGAACATTTTTCCACTTATCAACTTATGCTGGTATTCCAGTGTCACCATTGACATCTGGATTGGCAGTGTCAGCTAAAAACGAATCAACTTCTATGATTATCTGGTCTATACAATCCAGGCCTTTTTCATCATCATCATCCTTCTCAAATGGCCCTGGATGAGATTCTTGTAAAAATACTCTCAGTTTCACTCACACTAAAATGTATGCTCAACCTGCCATCTTGTAGCTATAATGGTAGCCAAATGAAACCACTGCAGAAATTTACTTGTAACAAAATTATTTTTCTGTCATTCACAAGAGGGCAGGACACACACAATCATTGTACAATGCTAAGACTGTTTGTCTGTACAATCACACGTAGTTATAACCCCCTTGTTGATTGATGTTAACGCATTAGTAGTGCCTGACTAATAGAAATGGTTGATGTGTTAACATCCCATTAGCAGCAAATGTGTTAAATATTCTAAAACAGCATTGATTGATTTATAAGCAATTTAAGACATCCTTCCTCGATTTCCACTTGCTTTTACCTAATTATAACTTAACAAACATTTCATTACAGCAAAAACACTTATTATACATGTTGAACATGCATCACTTACTTTCTTTTCACAGCACCCATTGGGGGCAAGTTTGGTCGCTGCAAAGCAAACTTTCCAACAGGAATTACTTCATTTGATCCATCTGGTGTTCTGATTCCATTTACTGTACTTGTTACCTTTGTGACAAATAGAGAAAACAGAAATAAAAATAACTGTTTACTTTTACACTCATTCCAAGTAGCAATGATATGCTTCCAGTTACAATTTCACAATTTGAATATCCAGATCAATGTTGTTGCCTTTAACAATTTTTAGATGGGCCTCTGTAAAATACATGAGCTAGTGATGAAATTCGGTAGGCTTTTAACAAATGTTATAAGTAATGTTGTGCATTAAAAAATTGGAATTTTAATAAAGTGTTTGAACTAAAGATCTGTCTGTGAATTTACTGAGTCAGTCTGACTGATTAGTCTGAATGTAAGGTGATTTAAATCTTAAGGATAAAAATACTTTATTCATTTTATTTCATTTTTCATTTGTATAACTTCTAATACATCATAAATAAATATATCAAAAGTTTTTTTTTAATCAAAACTTTATATTTTATCTATTATATTTCTCTACCCTAACGCTAACTGTAACAAAAACAGCAATATAGTGTAAAATGAAAAATTGAAAAATACAAAATAAATCTAAATTAACGTAAGTACCCATACATAGTGTGCAACAGGGTTTTTTTTGTCCTCACATACTAGGAAAAATCAATATGCCCATGTACAGAGCACAAAGCAATTCTAACAGCAGATCGGCCTTTGTATAGTGAGTGGCATATTGTTGTGTTGATTACTAACTGTATGTGCACATGCGAGTAAATACCACTGCCAACTAATTATCTGTATTACTTAATGAAGAAAACAAAGGCTGAACTTATGATCACCTGTAATTTGTGTATACCTGTTTTTAAACAATGCCCTGTACATAAAGTAGGAGAGTGATTAATACTGATTGTTACTGTGAATGTATTGTAGCATAGGATAGTAAAATCATCTTACAACCAAGTGTAAAAAACTCTCAGAAATCAAAAAAGTTTGCCAGATTATATTTTGACTGATTATTATTAGCAAATACCAGCAAATAAACTGTGCAGTTCTTTACATGGGAATGTTTGCAGAAATATATGCTATATTCACTGTGGAATAATAAAATATAACATCTAAGTTATCTATTTATGTTTAATCCTCTTTATTGTAGTACATCTTTTTACTTCCAGTGATCCAACAACAAACAATTATGTCAAAATGCGATGGCTTGAGGCAACCTTCGGACTGAAAATTCCACTGGAAAAATAGTGTGCACTTTATATTTGAAATTACAATTTTTGGAAAAAAGTGTACACTATATGTAGGTATTTATGGTACCAATTATTTTTTCTTATAAAATGGATATTGTAAGAGACAATTACACATTATTTATTCTTACAGCTATGGCTAGTAAACATTTCAAATCTGGGTTGATTTAATTTTATTACTTTACAGCTGCACTCACGTCTTCTCATACTTATAGTACACTAAAAGCCATTTACCACAGCTGGACAGCTTTACGTAAACAAACGATTGAGTCACAAGTATGCCAGTACAGATTATAAGCACATATTCATGCTAGGATATTGACTACCTCAAGAAGTATCTTTATTTAATTTTTTTAAATGTAGTTTTTCTTATCAACCAAGTAAGTTTCTAATGTTTACATTTTAACTACTCTTATTTATAATGATAAATCAAAAACGTATACATATATTAAAAAAATGTGATATCTAAACTCTGGATGTTTGCTGCTGGTGGATAAAGCACTATAGGTTTACCTTTTTTGTAACAATATTGGTAATCCAAAATATTTAAAATTTTTGTTTCAAATTTACAATGTAAAACAAAACATAGAATGTCCTAAAACTATAATTTAAGTGTCTTTAACTAAGCTCCACATAGGTTAAAATATTTCTTAGCATTACAGGGCTCAACAATATTGATGACACAAAAACAGTGTGAAGCAAGTTCTCTAAGAAAAGAAATATCATCAGCTGATTCTTGTAGGGGACGACATTCTTTTGCATTTGGTTATAAACATGTCTATAAATGATGAACATGTGATGTACAAAAAATTGTACAAAAATATGACAAGATAAGAGGAGCCTTAATTGTGGGTGCTATTATTTATATCTCACTAATTCAAGAATGTGGGAGGTTTAAATTTTAAATCCTGACCTATTAATATCTATATACTGAGTTTCTGATTTGTGGCTTTTCTTACAACCTAAAAAAAGAATGAAGAAAATAGAAAATAAAAGAATCAGAAGGAAGATGTTCATGTGATACACAGAAGTCAAAAATTAACAATTATATTTATTTCTTTTGAAATTAAGAAATTAAAACTTGTTTATAATCAAAAGTTTATACTATGTTGTTTTTTTTTTGTCAATTTTATTGACATAAATTGATAATAAAGGTGTTTAATTAAATCTTGAATAGATTGTGTAAAAAAGGTTGTGACATGTCCACTTTAACCTTCACCATGCAATTAGGGTTTAAAATATCTTCAAAAGTCAGTAAACGTACAGTGACTGATTTAAATTTTCATTATGATTAATTCATGCTCATTGTAATATATGATTTTTGGATAACCCTTAAAAATTTAATAAATAGTGTTTTATATATATCTCATCTTATAGCTGAACTGACAAGTTCTTGTACTGAACAAAAGGCCTCTTAGGCAGTGTTTTGTGGGAGACAAAATATAGATCAAAATACTAGTTTTACACACCTCTGACTTTGAAACCACAACGGATAAATGAAGAGGAATGTTGGGAAAAAAATATCACAGATAATGTGATTTTTATAACAAATTTTAGGCCTATTTCTCTCTAATTCTTTGTCAGTTTTTGAAGTATTATACTTCCATACAAATAACATTACAGAGAATGTTTTGTCTGTTAGTGTCCAGCTCACCTGATGAATTCTGGTATTGAATGAAAGGCTCTTTGGGTAGTGAGTTGTGGGAGAGAAAAGATAGATCTTAAATGCTGTTAATACACATACACACCCATGCCTTTAACCCAATACTCTCCGGGGCCATTTTGTCTTATTGTGAGGGCAAAATCATTTGTGAATTGAAAAAATGATAGAAAACTTATCTTTTATTGTAAATAGTACCATAACATTCAACTATTTGTACAAAATTGTATTGTTTAATGAAGTTTAAAAAGGAATTTAATGAAAAAATTCCTAAAATATGTTTTAGACTGTAAATAAGCACCCTCTAAGAAGAAATGTTTTTTTTCAAAAAAATTTTTAAGATATTTCCTTTCACTTCAGCACTGGTCCTGCCATCTATGATTGGTATCTAAACCTTTTTCTAGTCTGCATCTGGGTGTGTTAAACCTCAATTGTAAAACTTTTAACCAATCCTAGTCAAAAGTGTCAATTTCAGTACCAATTATTCCAATTGCTGTATCTCCCACTTGACAAATCATAGGATAAGGAAAGCACGTGATGAAACATTGTTCTCTGGATTTTACAATATGAATGTGGGTAGTGCTTATTATAGTAACTGCCATTTTATGTAGAGGTTGTATTTAGTACTGGCCAATAGGGGTTTTCTATAAGCGTTAGAAAAGTTGCTTCTGGAAAAAACTGCATGGGATGTACGTGACTTTTATTATTTTTATATAGTAGCTTAAGTCATGTTGCATGGTATATCTGTTTATATTAATCATTATATTGGAAAATTAACTCAAAATAGATATATTTTTTAGGAAAGAAGTTGATCCATGATTGTTAGGGTTAAGAGTTATCGAGAGGCGAGTTCAAAGTCTTTACATGAATTAGACTTAGGACTTTGAACTGAAAGAGTTTGTGATTTTTTATATTCTTTTGAATTTAAATTTGTAGTTTTAAGTTCAATAATTTAGCATCATTTTATATTTAGTTCATAATAATAATAATAATATGATTCAGTATTTAGAATGATAAACTTGGGTGATTTGTACGTACTACTACTAGTGCCAGTACCACATAAGAATTTTATATTTTTCCGTCTTACAATCTTTGCTTTGTAGTAAGACCCACACTTCTGTTGTTATTGTGTTAGAATTAAAACAGTCTAACTGATATATATAGTTTATTCTGATATTTTGCAAATGGTTCAAACTCAGTGTACAAGTGACAACAATAAAACCCATATGTTGGTTGTGAAACAGGCTAAATACATTCATGTCAATAATACAGGAAAGCTATGGCATTCTAACAGTTGGGGTCTCAATACATTGAAGAGCTTAAGTTTCACATTCCAACATAAATCTTGCCTATAATGAGAGGAATGTGACCAGGACTAATCTGGTAATTTTCTTTGTAATTTATGGTGTCTGTATAGTTTGGTAATCTCTTCTAACAGGATGTATCAAGTAACAAGGGGTCAGGCTCAAGCAGTGTTTATTGAAACCACCTGTACTATAAACTGTTACATACATTCGTTAGTCATGGCAATAAGTTTTGTCTCTATTCTGAAACAACATACACGGAAATATGTTGAAATAAACTTGTTTGAAATTTCAAAGAAATGATATTCAAGTACCGAAAAGCTTTCTTACTATCATATCTACAGAAAGGTTCAAATGCACACGCGCTCGGTTGAACGAGAGTGACCACCAAAAGGGGTGAGATAGTTTACGGACAACGTACAAAGTTCACGCTGCTGATCCCACAGTTTATTTGGCACAATAAACACAAAAGTATGACTGCAGTGAAACATAAACATAAATTTGAAATAAAAAATATATTTATGAAACAAAATTAAAATGTTTTTATGTACATATATAAACATGAAATCCTAATTAAAAATAAAAATACTCATTTACTGTTTAGGTTTATTTACAAATATTACTTACGGGTCCGTATATTACTTGAAACCATAAGAAGAGTAGTGATTATTAAAAAAATTAAAAATAGATAAAATTTGCATTTTATGGAGGATACAATTTTTTGGGGATTTCAAAATAATGTACTAAAACATTAACAGTAATAAGTTCAAATCTGTAGCAAATATAAATATCGTAATAATTTCTTATGAATACCATTTCCTAATGTAATTTTCCAAGATATTAAAGATCATAATGCAAAAAAAC